GACTAGACTAGACTAGACTAGACTAGACTAGACTAGACTAGACTAGACTAGACTAGAGCAGAGCAGAGCAGAGTAGAGCAGAACAGACGAGAGAAGAATAGGCTTTATTTGGCCAAGTGTGGTTAATCACATAAGGAATTGTCTCCTGTAAGAGATAAAAGTGGAAAAGTGCTATTTTGTGTCCAGTGGCAAATCCAGAGGATTGTTTTTCAAAGAACATGACAGTAATTTCCTTCATATTTCCATCCATATGATTCCTTGATATGATTCTTTTTCACCTATCCCCTGCTTGCATCACATGCCCCAAACTGAGACTCATTATCTAAGCCAATCTATATGAGATTTTTAAGACATGCCTCTTCAGTTGACTTGGCAACAATTCACAAGTTTGATTTTGAATTTGGAAGCTGCTTTCCTAGGTTGGTTGACTTCATTCATACAAGCACTTCTCAACCATCATGGATTACTTTCAGCTTCTCCCTCTCCTTTTGACTTTAGCACCAAGAGGAACCCTCCCTGGGCTCTGACGTCCTATAGCATTAGTCTCAACCTCACTAAAGTAACATTGTATCATGGAGAACATTCTTCTACCATAGAAAATACCAGCTACATGGTTTAACATGTGTCTGAAATTAAATAATCAGTCAAAACAATTGTTCAAAAATTATCAAATGGAACTGTTGGCTTTGGGCCACATCACTCAATTGCTCATCAATTTAGCTTGTGTCAAAATTATAGAATTCAAGTAATACTCTGATTATGTCAGTAATTAGCCGTGACTTCCATTTTTTGTTAACAGAGCAGTTTTGTTAATCAACTGCTGTCATCAATTATATAATAATTAAAGTATACTTAAAAATCTGATCTTGAAGGGTTGAACAGGATGATCAGAGTGATTTTACTGATGCTAAGAGAATTGCAGGTTTTAGAAAATAATGTTGTAGAATTGTGCAGCATCTGGCTGGGTTTTGGCAGGGTAAAAATTTGCATCTTTCTTTACATTAATAACTGTGTATGTGTGAGACTGGCAGCATGTTTTGAAATTCCACTTTGTTGGGAGAAAAATGCTAGTTTCAAATGGATGAAGAGGCTCTAAATGATCATTTTATTTAGCAAAACTAACAAGTTACATTGAGTGTGTTGCATCTATGCCATGCCACCTCTCTGCCTTGTAGGACTACACAAAATCTATATAGGTGGTTTCATCAAAGAATTACAGAAAAAGTGCACATTATACTGGAATACCCACCACCACTAAATACTTAGAAATAGCACAGGAAAAAGAAATGTGTGTATTTCTCAGATGTGAGAGGC